CATTAAGCTGTAGCATTTACTGAGCATCAGCAGTGAAACCTGAAGGTAATATCTCATTTTTGGAAAGAAGAAGCAAGTTCAGAGAGGCTAAATATACTGAGATTTGAACCTAGACCTTCTGGTTTCAGAGCCCAAAGGAGATTAATTCTGAAGTTCTTTCAGTTGGCCCCTCAAAATTGATTTTGTAGTCAGAATTATAACAGCATTACCATACTTTTCCACTTATCTATTTTCTCATTAAAAAATAGAGTTGCTGGGGGCCGACCTCGTGGCTCACTCAGGAGAGTGTGGCGCTGGGAGTGCAGCAGCGCTTCCGCCGTGGGTTCGGATCCTATGTAGGGATGGCCGGTGCGCTCACTGGCTGAGCGCGGTGCGGTAGACACCAAGCCAAGGGTTGCGATCCCCTTACCAGTCACAAAAAAACAAAAAAAAATAAGAGTTGCTGGGAGTGGGGGGCTCTTTTTTTACTGAAAAATTGCCCACCCAACAATTCTATTTTTTTAGCGGGAAAAAAATAGAAAATTTTGTTAGTCCCTCTGATTATAAAATCAGTTTACAAAATATAGAAGTTATGGCATTAGAAAGCTAGTTTTGCAGATACCGTTATTTTTACCGATTCAGGTGAGCATCAGTGGATGCTGAGAGTATTGAGTGCAAGCTGCCTGGGGAACTGGCTGTTTATACAGTGTGAAAGTATCATCCCATCAGTTGCTTATTACTTAAAAAAAGAAAAGCATTCACTTACGTGGAGAAATCTGGCAGATAACAGATAAATTTTATTAACCAAGTCATAAAATTTGTCATCAGCAATAAAAGTAGAACTCAGCATGTGCTTCCTGATGTGATACACTGAGGACAGACATAACATCATCTCATAGCATCCTTACCACAAATGTTTAGTTTAGAGATCTGATCAACAGGAAAGGATCAAAAAAATTCATATTGACGGACATTTTCAAAACATCCGGCTTGGACTGTTCAGAAAGGTTAATGTCATGAACAATGGATGAGAAGTGAGTAAGGAACTATTTTAGATAAAAGGAGACTAGTGAGGGCTGGCCAGTTAGCTAAGTTGGTTAGAGCATGGTGCTGATAACAATTATGAAAGACATTATTAAGATCAGTCACTATTTTAACATGGGCCATATATTGAAGAACAGTGTTGTATCAGAGTTAAATTTAGTGATTATGAATAAATGAATTGTGAGCATGTAGAATAACTTTGTTCATAGGAGATACTCTGAGTATTTAAGAATGAAAAGTCATGTTGTTTGCAATTTACTCTTAACTGGTTCAGCAAAAATAAATACATATAGAGAGGGAAAAATATTACCAATTGACAGATTTAAATTAAAAGCACATTAGTGTTGGGCCGGCCCGGTGGCGCACTGGAGAGTGCGCTGCTTGGGAGCGCAGCGGCGCTCCCGCTGAGGGTTCGGATCGCATGTGGAGACCGGTTCCCGCTCACTGGCTGAGCGCGGTGTGGGCCCAACACTGAGGGTTGCAATCCCGTTGCCGGTCCCCGGTATGGGCGCGACACCAAGGATTGCGATCCCGTTACCGGTCAGTAAAAAAGACAAAAAGGAAAAAAAAAAAGCACATTAGTGTTCAGATAGTATTGAAACTATTGTGTGGGTTTGAAAATTCTTAAAAGGGGAAAGAATAGAATTGTTCATTGAAGTAGCCAAACTCAAGCAGTGGAAACATAGATTCCAGTAAATAATAACAATGGAGCAAGTTTTTCAAGAAAATAGTTGAAAGCAGGTATCACAAATGGGTTTTTACTTCATTGTCATCTCTGATAAAATAATACTGGCCACCAGACAGGTTGAAATGCTTGGGATTCTGAACCATGTTCATGGTTTATTAGCAGTATTTGCCAAGGGTTGAGGATGTGGGAGTGGTGATAGTATCCCATGTATTTGTCATCCTGTGCTTGAATGTTTACATCACTGTAGTCTGATTAATCCTTAATTCTTATTCACTCCTTGATCCAACCCTATTTTTATCCTGAAGTTTAAATTTTCTCTGGCATTAATATCCCTCTGAAGCTGGGCCAGGGCTTCCCAAATCTTTAAAAGTCAGGAGTCTGAGGCATCCTCAAATCAGAGTCTTTTTTTTTTTTCCTTTTTGTCTTTTTTACTGACCGGTAATGGGATCACAACCCTCTGTGTCGCGCCCGTACCGGGGACCAGCAACGGGATCGCAACCCTCGGTGTTGCGCCTGCACCGCGCTCAGCCAGTGAGCGGGAACCGGTCTCCACATGGGATCCGAACCCTCGGCGGGAGCACCGCCGCACTCTCAAGCAGTGCACTCTCCAGTGCGCCACCGGGCCGGCCCTCAAATCAGAGTCTTTGATACCAGACAGGCTTTAGGGGAGAGGGGCATCTCTTCTAAGGGGGGGGTTCAGTATAAACTTTTATCAGATTCTGTAAGGGACTTAAGACCTAAGATGGTTAAAAAACCCAGTGCATTCACTGCTATTCTGATGATCTGCTGTTATTTGTTTTTCATTTTGCTTGATAGGCAGTGTCTTAGTCTCCTTTCCTATCACTCTTCTCAGTCCCCCACTCTGTGCCAGTGATGAGACCACCTGTGTTTGGCTCCTCTCTCTAGTCCCTTTAAGATTGTCCTTTGTCCTCCTGAGGGTAGAAGCAGTTTTCATGTAATCAAGAGCAGGTAATTTTGCACTCTCTTTAAGAGGCGAAAGGAGCCTTGATCATAGTATGTGCTCAATAAATATTGTTGAATGGATGGTTGAAATAATTAAACACTTCTTTTCCCAAACAGCTTTCCAGCTGAAATTAGTTGGTGCGTTCATTTAGTGTTCTTTGAATAAAATCACATGGATTGGTTCCCTTGGCTATATGTGCAGCTTTCCCTCCTCCTTTTCCAGCTTGAGTCTTCAAGAGGGAGCCTCAGAACTGATCTCTAAAATCATTTGTACCTGGTGTGATTATAAAGCAATGAGACTGATTGTCATATGTTGTTTGTGGGATCCGTCTCAGTTACTTTATAGCCATACCTGGTATCTTATACCACAGATCATTGCCTGTCGAACAACATTTTAAAAGCACAAACCTAAGGTTATTAAATGAAAATGTAAAATGGTTTAGCATTATGTTATGATTTTCTCTAACTTAACTGATCAGAACTCTTGTTTCACAAAGGTAATTAGACGTTAACTTTATTGCTTGCTTTAATTTTGCATTTTTCTTTTTGTTTATGGATTTTTAATGAGTATTCTGATAAACTGCTGTTCTGATAAAGTGGCTGGAACAATTTTGAATAAGGTAATACAAAATATATGTTCCTTTGGGTTACATTTTTCATAAAACTTCTTTTGGTAAATTTCTTTTCAGTTGCATGTAGTCTTTTGACTGCACGTAACACAGGGATGGTCCTTTTAGCTAAATATAAGTGAAGCATATAAAACCAAATGTTTAGTATATATTATTTATTGAAGAAGCCTTTTCTAAAAGGGCAAGTTTTGGGGCTTTTGCATGTTTGGTGGTTTACATTTGTATGCACAGACCTTATTCATATTTGAATAAGTGGTTAAAATTTTCTCTTACCCGGAAGAAAATGTTATTTCCCATCTCCTGACCCTTAGTCTCTATTAGAGGCTCTTCAAAGAAGGCAAATTGTAAAAGTTGCATGTCCCATCACAGGCAGCTTCAGCTTATGAGAGGACAATTGCCAACAACTAGATTAGTGGTAGAAAGGCTTCTCTATTTTTTTTTAAAGAAAGTGGTAAGTTATTCTTTTTGTGGAGGAGGAAAGTGATAGAGATTTGTGCTATCCATGGGAGAGAGACTCACTTGTCTTTAATGTATTACTGTTTCTGGAAATGATGTAAGGGAAAGGGGATTAGGTAACTAGAAGGCAATTTAAGACCATCTTTATAGTTAACTTACATGGTTTGTGGCTGTGGGCAGATCTCTGGACAGCTTTTAGAAGATGGAGGTATTTTGATGCCTAACCAGAATGTTGAAGCTTGGACCTGTCTCAGGAAGGATTTGACTTCCAGAACAGTTCTGGGTAAACTAAAAAGAAGCCTCGCTCCAGTCAGGTCTAGACATAAACTGAAGTCGGTTTCAGATGTTCTAAATAAAAGTTACCACCATGTGGCACTTTGTTGTTGTAGCTGTATTACCCAGTGTGTGTCCTACGTCTCAGTGACATTATAAAACTCCATATCCTCTACTTCTATCCTTGTACTAGTTGTACACACAGTAGGTGCTCCATGAATGTTCCTTAGAGTGATTAGTACAAGAAGTACCAGTTTGTTCTATAAATAACAGCCCTTTTCTCCTTTTCTTAGGGGACTAGGGCTTTCTGGAGATTATTTTATTTTTTATTTATTTATTTACTTTTTCCTTTTTGTCTTTTTTCGTGACCAGCAACGGATCACAACCCTCAGTGTCGCGCCCGTACCGGACCGGGACCGGCAACGGGATCGCAACCCTCGGTGTTGCGCCCGCACCTCGCTCAGCCAGTGAGCGGCCAGTCTGTATGTGGGATCCGAACCCTCGGCGGGAGCGCCACCGCGCTTCCCAAGCAGCGCACTGTAGCAGTGCGCCACCAGGCCGGCCCTGGAGATTATTTTAAGATAGAAAAGGTTTACAATGTAAACCTACCATGATTTTATCATATTTCTATTGCTGTATAATATGTTATATTACTGTCTGTTGTCACATTTGGTTGGTTTAATAATCTGTTCTTCAAATATAATTGTAAAACAAGTTAATATGGTTCTACAATCATTTTATGCCTTTCTTCTATCTCAGTCGTAAGTACTACACAACAATTTACATGTTCCCACTTGGTTGCCAGCATACCCAACTGCACCTTCATTTCAGTTGAAAAGTTGAATCTGCAAACCTTTCCCATTAGCAAACATTGCAGTAGTTTTTCTAAACAGCATATTTATATATTTGATATTTCTGTATATTTTAAATGTCACTTGAGTGTATATATTTATTTTACATTACAGGCACTGGAGATATTATTGCTGTCATGATAACGGAATTGAGGGGTAAGGATATTTTGAGTTATCTGGAGAAAAACATCTCTGTACAAATGACAATAGCTGTTGGAACTCGAATGCCTCCAAAGAACTTCAGCCGTGGTTCTCTAGTCTTCGTGTCAATATCCTTTATTGTTTTGATGATTATTTCTTCAGCGTGGCTCATATTCTACTTCATTCAGAAGATCAGGTACACAAATGCACGTGACAGGAACCAGGTGAGCTACCACTACTCCGTACTGAATGGTTCTTACCAGCCATAACTTATAGACACCTGTCATGATCATACATCTTACCAACATTTTTTTCATTTTAAAAAAAGTTATGGGTCTGGGTGGTTAGCTCAGTTGATTAGAGCACAGCTTTGTAATACCAAGGTAAGTTGTAAACTTCATTCATTTTAATATGTTGAAAATATACCTATACAAGTATTTTAAGGATATTTTAAATATCTAAAAGGGGAAATTATTACATTTATAGCAATCACTTAGGCTATTCTAGTTAGGTAGGTAACTTTTAATATCATAATATGATCTAGATAATTTATTAATTTGGAGAAATATTACAAAGTTGCATTTTTAAACTGGTAACTTTGGTTCTCTCTGAAGAGGGGAACTGGGAGGAGTGGGAGGCAGACTTCACTCTACTTCCTTTTCCATGTGAATTTTTTTTCCCATGTGAATTTTGAACTATGTATTATCTATTCAGAAAAAAAATAAAAAAATAAATTATCTGTCATATCTAAGCTCAGACATGGGGGTGAGGGTTAGGTGGGGAGAATCAGTAAAATAGGTCTCTTTAGAAAGTTATCCTAGAAATTCCATTGATCAGCACATCTCAAGTGCTCAGTTAACTTGGGTTGAACAAGCAAAGGCAGAGTAAAGGCATCATGCTGCCCTGCAGGGGAGGGCCTGGAGATGGGGGTTCTCTCAGTTTGTTACTAAGTTTCTTTGATGTGCTATAGACAAAATACCCACCTTCAGAGCCTGGTTAGAAGTGTTAAGTCCCTGTCCTAGACTTTTCCTGTAGGAAACTAGGAAGTGAATTGCTTGGAGAGTGGTTTGAAGCCAGTTTTTTTTTTTTTTATAATGTCATCCTCTCTCTTAATCCTTGTGGGGTGTTGGAATTTTCATCCTTCCTCACATTCTGTTGGAAGAAGCACAGACTTTGGCATAAAACAGGTCTGAATTCAGATCCCTGCCTTACCACCAGTTTACCATGATCCCTCTTGGTCAGTTTATTTAGCCCTTCAACTTGTTCTTCACCTGAAAATAGGTATAAAATACCTGAAAACTACTGTTTATTGAACGTTTACATGCCAGGATTTCTGTAGTATTCTGCACATTTTTTAATTTTTTAAATTTTGATAATTATTATTTATAACTTCAGACTTACAAAAAAGTTGCAAGAATAGTGTAAAGTATTCCCTTCATTCAGATTCTTCAGCTAACATTTTATCATGTTTCTTTTTCTATGTATATATTTTTTTCAACCATTTGAGAGAAAGTTGAGCTATGATGCCCCTTTACTCTTAGATACTCCGTTGTGTATTTTGTAAAAAACATATTCTCTTATATAACCACAGTATGATTATCAAAATGAGGAAATTAACATTAATATAATACATTATCTGATCTACAGACCTTTTTCAAGTTTTGTAAAACTGGCTTGATAATGTTCTTTATAGCAAATAAAACCTTGGCTTAATGGGATCAGATTGAATGTTGCATTTGGTTGTCATGTCTCTCTTACTGTTTCATGACACTGACATTTTCAAAGAGTACAGGTCAGTTATTTTGTATTTGAGTTTGTCTGATGTCTTATGTTCATTCCTTCATGATTAGATTCAGGTTATATGCATTTTTGTCAGGAACAACAGTCCTTTACATTTTTAAAAACTTTTTATTTTGAGATAATGTAGATTCAATTGGATTTATAAGAAATAATACAGAGAAATCCCATATACCCTCCATTCATTTTCCTCCAATGGTAACATCTTGCATTACTATAGTAAATATCACACCTCAGAAATTGACGTGGATTCAATCCTCCAATCTTACTGAATCCACTGAAATCTTCAGATTTCTTTGGTTTGACTTGTACTCGTTTGTGTATGTGTGTGGTTGTGTGTGTGTGTTTAGTTCTGTGCAGCTTTATCACATGTAGGTTCATGTGACCATTACCACAGTCAAGATACAGAACAGTTTCATCACAGGGATCCCTTGTGCTACTCTTCTACAGCCACAGCCACCTTCCTCTCACCCCCTTCTCTAACCACTGGCTGCCACTAATCTGTTCCCATCTCTGTAGTCTTGTCATTTCAAGAATGTGATATAGATATAATCATATAGTACTTAACCTCTAGAATTTGTTTTTCTTCACTCAGCATAATTCCCTTGAGATCCTTCCAAGGTGCTGTGTGTATCAACAGTTTATTCCTTTTTATTGCTGAATAGCATTCCATGTTTTGTGTGTACCACAGTTTGTTTAACCATTCACTCATTGAAGGATATCTGTGTTGTTTCCAGGTTTTGGCTATTATAAAGTGGCTGTGAACATTCATGTACAGGTTTTTGTTTGAACATGAGTTCAAGGGTTATTGTGGTAGGTAAGCACATATTTAGTTTTGTACGAAACTGCCATACTTTTTTTTCCAAAGTGGCTGTACGATTTTACGTTCTACCAGGAATGTATGGCTGATCCAGTTCCTTCACATCCTCATCAGCATTTGATGTTGTCACTATTTTTTTATTCTAGCCATTATGCTAAGTGGGTAGTAACGTTTCTTCTGCGGTTTTAATTTGCATTTCTCTAATGGCTACTGATGTTGAACATCTTTTCATGTGTTCTGTAGGTGTCAACTAGATCACTGTGCTCATCTTACTTCCATGAGGAGCTGGGAGGGGTGGAGGTGGAGGTAGAAGGGAGATCATCTTCTGTGCCATGTTGAAACCAGGGTGGGAGGAGGTGTGCAGTATTTTTCTTTGGTGTTTGGCTGGAGCAGAACAGGTATTAATTACCCAAAAGCCTTTGTGATGTCAGGCCATCTCTTTCCTGGTACTTTGGCTGGGGGAATCACCTTTTTTTTTTTTGGTGGTGGTGTTGGGGTGTGGGGTGATGGTTGTTCCTGTTGACAGTTCCAGGTTGGAGGCTTCTGCAGCAGTGTGATAAATGGGAGGCGATATGGAAGCCCAGGGAAATCACCATCCTAAGTCTCAAGGTCCCTAGACAGCTCAACTCCTCTTTTTGTGCTATAATGTGCTATATACCTTTTTAAAAGCTAAATTAAGTATTTTTTTAAATATGTTGTTATATGAAACACTGAAAGTATAATAGTCAGGAGCTGCTCTGAAATGGTGTTCTTGACAGGGAAGCCCTATAGTAATGGGTTGCATATGGCACATCCCAGGACTTTAGGAAGAAAACTCATGGTTGTCCCAGGAACCTGCTATTAGAAGGTTTGATTAGCACCCAGTGTGGAGCCTGTGTGTGATGAAGGAACAAATGTAATCGCCATCTGGCACAGGCCACAAACAGGGAGCTTGTTTCCTAGCACTTGTGTTGTAGCTGACTGCATGCAGGCTGCTTCCAAAGCATCCCTTGATAGACACTGCTTTAGTGGAAAGTGGTGTTCTGACCTTTTTTCCTCCTTCCGTTTTCCCTAAGGTTGGGAAACGCTTGATGAAATTTTTATGTGGCTTAAAAAGCTTAGTTTATTAAAATTTAACAAGGAGGTGGGAGCAGCTCAGCTGATTGAAACCTTTAGCTATTTCAAAAGAGAAGCCAGAACTATTAGCAAAGAAAACACAGTGAGTTTAGAGAGAGATCCTCATTTTCTCCCACAAACTGTTATCAGGAAGGAGTTCTTTCTGCAAAATATGCTACCAAAGAGAGCCATGTAATATAAGTAACTTTCTCAGTGCAGTGTAATGTTCACAATTGAGAACACTTTACATGTGATATGAGAATCTAATGCTTTGACTTTTCAGTTTACTGCTAAGTGTCTGTGGTTTGCTTTTCCTGAAAGCTTCTAAATACTATGTTTAGGCACAAATAGCTCCTATGATGGCTGACAGTAAACTTAAGTGTCACCTTCTAATTAAGTCAGTGATACTGATTTCACACAAAAGAGTAGATGTTTGGTGCCTTTATATTTAAAGGGTGTCTAAGGAGTTTTAGAGAAGTGTAAATTTTTTAACAATTACATGGTTAATACTGCACCTTTAATATCAAAGTAGTCAAATTTGATTCCTAAAATAGAACAGTAAAATTTTTATTTTACTGTTGAGGAATAGGGCAAGTCTAAAAAAGTCTGCAATCTACTGGACTCAAGTTTAGAATGTCTTCTTATGAAAATTCCATGTAAAAATGCCTGCAATTTGGAGGGATTTAAAACTTGCAAAAGCTCTTCACCATTACATGTGTATATAGTATTCTTAGACTTCATAAATGTGTCAAGGTTGCTGTGATGAAACGTACTTCTATTGCCCATTTCTGTCTCAGAAGGCCAGTGAGTGCACCTGTCTGTTAGAGTGTGGAAGCACAGTGAGTGTTCCTGCGCCAGAGGAAGGACAATACTTTCATGTATACTTTGTAGACTTGTATTTTGTAATACTTTTATGTAATCTTTAGAAAATGCTGAGTTCAAAAGTTTTCTTCCTTCCAGATTTGGGGGGGGAGTAGGTGGAGAGTGTGTGTATATATATATATATATATATATATATATATATATATATATACATACACACACTATATACAATGTATATTGTTGGATGATAGAATGAATTTTGTTTATTATGTTTATTTAGGATTAACAATTCCAGAAGAACTGGAAAAGAAGAATAGATGTTTGAGCTGAGAAGTTATTATTTTACCAGTTTTTTAAGATACTGCAAATACTCTATCTTTTTTTTCATGTCCTACTACTATGATCAGTGTATATAAATACGTAACACTTTTTGTATACAGAGACTATATGCCTTTAAATGTCACACATCAAGAGCTTAAGTCTTGATTTTTTCAGCACAAGATATGCTCTTAAGATCAGTATTTTGAAAACATTTATTTCTGTATCCTTTGGGTTTAGCATAGAGCTTGGCATGGCACACTCACTCAGTAAATGTGTAGTGAATTCAAGAATGACCTTACATTCTATTGGGAAGGCAGGCAGGCGTAATCAAAATACTGTGTGGTATGAGAGTTACTCTTTGGGGGCAGA